TTGCCATTCATTAATCAAGGCAAAGGCAGTAAAGCTGCTGTAGCGCCACATTCACTGCTATTTGCCAGTCTCAGTGAGTCACGGAGACCAAAAATGTTTAGTTTTCATAGTTAAATAAACTGGCTTCCAATTCATAAACCCATTTGTGAAGAGGAAGGGATAAAGTGTCTGAATTTATCATACTAGCAGATGCCTTTCACCTACCACCGAATGTCCAAGTCATCGTTTGCACAGACCTCATTGATACGGGAGATGATCTTCGCCAGTTTCTTTAAAGCCTAAGGTAAATAAGAGGTGACTTTTTGCATCTCCACTTCCTAGAAGGCCTATAAAGTGCAGTAAAGTCCCGATTTTATTGTCAATAAATGCGAAAGTGAAAAAGAGATTTGCTGTGCACTACCGATAACACCAACGTCACAGTGACAAAGGGGAACACTGAGTCCCTCAAACAGCAACTGTTCCTGTACACACTAAACGTACACAACCATTTCCCACCAGAGTGTGGGATACTTTGTCCGATCGAGACTAAAGTATTTATTTAAAGTATTAAAGTATTTATTAAGGATAATGGACCAAGACCTATATCAAGATCTTGCAATTGCCACTTCTACGGAAAACTGATCCTATCTTGCCAAGAGTACTCGTTCAAGTGGCGCAAGAGACGCTTCCAACTGTAAGCGTGCTAGCAGAATGGCCTCCAGACCACTCCAGCAGCTAACTAATACGAGAAAAAACGTGGTAGGAAAATCACAATCTCATAAGTTAAAGTACCCATTGCAGGAAGCAATGAACAAACAACAAGCGGATCTGTTCAATGTCGAAATGAAAGCGTTTTCTGCGGTAGACCTGTAATCACATAATACTTACTATCACAATTTAGTAGAAAACATAAAAAAGACAATTTAAGGGTAACTAGCTTTGCAGTTTGGGCAACAACAAAACGGAAAATCGAGAAATCAAAAGACGGACAAATTTAAATCAGGGCCAATCAATAGCCCCAGCGTGCGTCGGCTTTCAGACCGCCAATATTTACCGTCTAGATGTAAAGATGATGTTTGGTTGGGTGATTTGGATAGTTGTGGGTCTCTTTTTGGCCACGCTGATGAATGAAGACGACGAGGTGCTAGACCGCCCCGTGCTTCCATGGGAGGTGCAGCCCACCTTTTGGGAGCGCCAGGCGCGGGAACAACTCTACTTTGCTTCACACCTGTTTCCGCATTTGGTGCAGAGACGAGCCAAAAATGCCATTTTTTTTCTTGGCAAAGGACTCGCCTCTGGGGGCATTTCCAGCGGACGCCTGTACAAAGCCTTTAAGGCAAAACGTACAGGGGAGGTAAAACGAATGAGTTTTGAGATGTGGCCTTTCAGCACCATGTGCAGAACGTACGATCTCGAAACCATGTCGGCGGATGAGGCCAGTTCTGCGACCGCTCTTTTGACAGGTGAGACAACTATCTCTATACATTTAAAATGATATGCCTTAATGGTAAATAAGTGCTTATCAAAACAGACATTGCATATTATAAGTAAAAATAGCTTTAGCTCCTTCAAACTTTTTGCAGGAACGAAGACTCGATCAGGGATGCTGGGGCTAACGGGTAATGTCAAGCTTGGGTCATGTCATCCGCATACGGAAAATGAGAAAACGGTGTCCGTATTGAATGCCGCTATGGAGGCTGGGCTGGCCACTGGCATTGTGACCAACACACGCTTGACCCAGGCTCCTTCAGCCGCCAATTTTGGATATGCTTCTACACTTAGTTTTGAAAACGATGTGTAAGACTTGCAGTTTAATGAAAAATTTTGTCCGCTTTCAAAACGGATTTTCAGGCATGTATGATCTTATAAAGTTTAGGCTGTGCGCAGATTTTTGACGAACTTCCTGGTTCTAGAATCAAAATGTCAGCTACGAGAGAGCCATAAATAAACGACTTTGACAATGTGCTTTCTGCACTGCCTATAGGAAATCCATTTAACTTACATTTCAGTGAAGTTAATAGACATTGCAACCAAACCACCAACTTCAAGTGCATGGATTTGGCTAAGCAGTTGGTACTCGAGCACCCGATGATCAACGTTATGCTTGGTGGTGGGCAGGAAAACTTTTATCCCAATACATCGTCCCTACCCAGCGACACTACTAAAAAGGGCTCCCGTGGCGATGGACTCCTTTTACCTAACATTTGGCTCTCCTCGCTGCGGGACAAGGGTCGAAGTGCCGAATATGCGGGTAGAGCTACGGAATTACATGAAAAGATTCTTACGCGACCCGACCACCTCTTAGGTAAGTAAATTTTGGGGAAGCTTGCTTGATAGCCAATCTATAGGTCTTTTAGCTCCTTCTCATTTGCCCAATGAAATCGATCGTAAAACCACCGAGCCGGATCTGTCCAACTTGACCAAGGTGGCCTTAGAAATTCTGATGAACCAGGGCAAAGGCTATTTCCTATTTGTGGAGGGTGGTCCAACTGATAAAACCCAAGCTTCCAATGA